TTTTTTTTTCAATATCTACTTCAAAACTACGGAAAATTAAAACAGTATTTTACTTCGTCCTCCTCCAAAGACTTGCCTTTAAGAACATGCGAGAATACATATACAGTTTTAAGTCTGTGAAGTCTAACCCTGAAGGTTGCGCTGTTTATATGGATCAGAAATGGTATGTAGTGCGACATTAGTGATTGATTTCACTCAGTTATATTCGTATTTCTGCATGCGCTTCCCTACCAGCCGTGCTGGAAGTGATGGTATTTTGGAAGGTTCCAAACTGAAAAAGTTGCAGTTGTTGATTAAATTTTCCCGCTCGTTACGGAGTAGCCGGGAGAGAACAACGTTCCCACACCTCCAACTTGACAAGAAATTGATTTGTAGTACGGAGCTAGCCAGTGATATTAGTAACTTAATTTTTATATTTTCCGGAATTTAACAGAAGGCTGGGAGAGAGTGAATTAATTCTCTGTTATTCTTTTATATGTTCTAAGAGACATTTTTTTGGAGCGTAAAAAACAAATCTGATTCATTGTTACCTAAGTGAGGTACGTTTCTATACAAAGTTTATTCCTAGGAGATATATTATGAGTCTATTTTTTTTTTTTGCTCCACTGCTGAACTAGTTTGTTCTTTTTGCCGACTCTAGTTTTAGCTGCTTCTCTAAGTAGAGCTGTTCATTACTGAAACAGGTGATCTTTTCAGAATGAAGCAATTCACTGTTCTAATTGTTAAGATTAACCAGTAGCATTAAAGCATTGAAAACAAGAAGGCTTATTATAGAAGAGAGCAGCTGAACTGCATTTGAAAGACCCGGTTCATTACCCTGATGCAAATCATAAGCCAGAAATGGCCATCGCACTCAGCGATTTCCAGCTTCTCTGCGGGTTCCGACCGGCTGAGGAGATAGTGGAAAATATTAAAGGTACGTCAACGTTTGTCTTACACGGAACTGTGGTCTACAATACTACAATTTCTTGCAGCTTTTAGCTAATGAAGAATTTCGTTCACTACTGAAAGACGAAACAGCGATTCAGAAACTGTTGTCGTCTCTGGAAAGCGAAAGAAAAGCGGCGTTGAAACAAATTTTCGAAATATATATGAAGTCTCCGGAAGAACAGGTGTCTACAGCATGCAGAAAAATGATAGAACGTCTAAAAAAAAGTATTTTCTTCAACTACTTAAACTTCCTTTTTGTCAATCACCAGTGCCATCTAAGTCGACTAGAATGAACATTATTTCAAGCAGTTTCTGAAAAACATATCGCATTTCCTTGATTGATCGGTGTTTATTGCTGTAAAAATTTGTTGGTCTGTAAAAGGTAGTCGAAAGATAGGATCAAATGGTTCTCTCAAAAGTGAAAAGAAAGTGATTAATCTTGCGAAAGCAGAGCTTCTAGTAATCATGTCTTCTTTGAGAAACTCATCGCAACGATTTGGAAGATCTTCTTGTTCGTTTGAATTCCGAGTTCCCTGGTGATATTGGAGTGTTTGCACCTTTATTTCTTAATTACTTTACGTTAAAGAATGGCGAAGCCGTCTTCCTCGGGCCAAACTTGCCACATGCATATTTATACGGAGGTTAGAAGGTTCGAATAAAATCCTAAAACAGCCGAGAAAGCATAAATAAAATGGCTAATTTGGATATGATTTACAGACTGTATAGAATGTATGGCATGCTCTGATAATACCGTTCGAGCGGGATTGACTCCAAAGTTTAAAGACGTCGACATACTCTGCTCTGATTTAACTTTTGAAATGTCACCGCCACCTTATTTCCACCCAGAAAAGTTGAATTCTGCAACAACCGTATATGGACCTCCAGTTACTGAGTTTAGTGTTCATAAAATTCAGGTAGGCTTTTATTACGACTTCTAACTTATCTGAAGTGACTCGATTATAGCTTTGTTGAACAGGAGGAAAAGACTAATGAAGAGTATGGGTCGTTCTACGCTGAACTGCGCCTTTTAAAAATTTAAATCCCTAGTTGTTTTGAAATGCGGCTGATTAGCAGTTTCTGGGACTTTCAGTCGGGTGGGGTTTTAGATCCTCTTGCAACGGAAGCAGAATTTTAAGGTTAATAACGACGTCCCTCTCGCTTTAGTAGGAAACAACATTTTGAAAAATTAAAATAATGCTAGAAAATTGCCAGCTGATTCATCAGCAACGCAGCAGTTGCCTTCCCTTTACAACAAGCGTGAGGACCGTACAGCGCGTTGCTGTTGGTGTACCTCAAAGTCTTGCGTGTAATATATGAAACTGATTAAAATTTTCATATTCCGCTTGTCTTTTTTTCTCTTCCTTTTACATGTATTAAGATTCAAATTTGAAGAAACTTTTCTGTCCTGGTATTTATTAAAGCATTTAACGATTGTTTTTCTGTATTGTCTCCTACAAATGGCAGCGGTGCATGTTCTTCAGTCATTTTTTGTACACATAAACCAACCGGAAATTGCGTACAAGAAGCTTGATATGTTTATTTTGTTTACGTTTTCTCTTCGCGACTACCGTTTTTTGCTGAATTTGAAGCATCTACTGAAGAGATCTGAGGTTGGGAATGAAATGATTTTTGCTAATCTGCAGCCCCTTTGCAGGTCTAGAACGTGCCTTATAGTGAAGGGCCTGCACAGTGCTGCGGGACCTCCTTAAAGAGCCTGCGGTTAAATGTCTACAAGCCCACTGCCTCCCAAAAGCGCCTAGTCTACTCGTCTAAATGAGTACCGACTTTACAGGACCGAAGGAAGAACCCGAAGAGTTCTTCACATTTTATACCTAATTAAAGCATGGAAGTTTTCCAAGTTTTTCTGCGAACAGAACCCGCTTGAAAGCCAATGGTCTCTAAATTCTTACCCTGTCTGTACAAAGCAAGTTGTAACAGGAATGTATGAATTTTACAGCGGTCTGTACTGGGCAGCATATTGCGAAAGAAAACTAGTCGGCGATATTTGCTTAGAAGTCTTTTTTATAAGGTGTTTTTAAGTACCGCCTGGCCCTTGTAAACTCTTGTAAATATCCTACATTAGAAATTAAAAAATGCCATGTTTGGAGCCGCGGCGCTTCAACTTGTTTCAGGAATAGGGTAGTTTAATAGAATGGAGCTATAGTGGGGAGTGCAGCTACACGTCGTTATTGATCTGAGAAACTGACTTCCCTGTCTCTTCTGATCTTCCAACTAGAATTTTTTTGAGAACTGTACACAACCGTAAAGGGATCCACTACGTGTGACATAGTAGTGAAGTTGTTTTTTTTTTATTTGTAAATATTAGCTCCCTTAAAGTAGAATGTCGGAAGTCAGCGTTAGCTGTCTGAAAAAAACAGTTTTTTAGATGCAGCAGGTGGCATAAAAAACAAAGCGTTTAGAATGCAAAGTAAAAATAGAGCAATAGAAATGCAAAAGTAAGAAGTAGAAAAAAGTTAGAATGGAAACCTAGAAGTCGTTTACAGGTTTCTTCGGTAAGATATTTACAGTTTAGACACTTTACAACTTTTTTTTACTTGATCAGTTGCGGGTATAGGGGAAAGCTGTTGCGGTTTCTCGTTTAAATTTCATCTAAAAAGATTTGTTAACTTGCTTACTGGAACCTAATAACAGTGTCAGAAACTTTTTTTTTTATTTCCAAGAAGGAAGTTTCCTGCTCTTCTTCTTTTTTCTTGAACTGGTCTTAATTATTCTGTCTTTTCATACACTATCTTTTCGGATCATGAATTAAATTTTCGTTGAAACAGAAGGGAGTGTCAGATTTTTTTCACCAGCCTCTAAGGCTCTTGGTTGAAAAAATTAAAAAGCTACTTTTATATCAAATATATCAGTTTCCCCTATAGTTTTGAATAATTCTTACGCAGCTGCAGTGAAATAATTTGCACCGAAAGAGGAAGGTCGGTTGCCCAGTCTATCTAAATAGGGACAGCCAATCAGAGAGATCAGTGACTTCTCGGCGCGTGCGGCCCTCTTGCAACACCAGAAAGAAAGTACGGGTAAAATAAGAGGACACGAAAGGGTGTATGGAGGGGAAAAAGTAAAAATGAATTGTTTCTACGGAAAATGGCATACATTTCCAACAAGAATCATCCAATTATCTTACAACCTTGCAAACCTGTATGTTTTAAACTCGGACTTGAAAATTAGGGAATTTGCTATAAGAAGTGCGTGGAGAAAATAGTTAAAAAATGCTGGAGCGTGAAAGGAGGCGAAAGTTTTGAGCAGTACAGTAATCTTTTAAGAATCCCGTCTATTGACAATGAATTTTTGAGGTGTTAAAATTGTACAGTTTCTTTCCTGTAAATTTTAGGATGCATGACAGTATGTGTGCCAAAAAATGCGTAAAAATTGTGTTGAAATTAGGGTTTTATACAGCTTCATTTTAAAATATTGCTTTTTGAACTGTTTTAAAGGGAAACTATTCATTAAAGATGTATTTTCTCCACAAAATCAATCGCAAATTGGGTTCTCCTCCGGTTTCTTAGATTCAAGAGAAGAAGTGAACAGACACGGCAAATTTTAATGTGATTGATTAAAATTTTTCCCTTCAAATTCTTTATAGCAACTTTGAATGTGTTTTGGGATTGGGTCAGATAGCCTCGCTGTAGGCTTACTGACATCGAAGCTGTAAAAAGTTGTCTTGAGCAACAAGCAATATTAGCAGCTTAAAGAAGTATGCTGTTACTATACAGAACTTGTGAAACTGATGTTTTATGAGGAGAATATGAATTCAAACTGCTTTTTAAATGTATATATTTTATTTATGGGAAAAAATTTCAAGTTTTTGATTTAAGTCTTTGAAGATCAGTATGAGCATTTCATTACACTCCTGTATCTACGAGAAGTAACTGTAAAATGAAAAGAAACCTTGAAAATTTGTTGTGAATAAGCAAGTTTCCATTCCTCTCAAATCATCATCTTGGACAAAGTCCTGTGTTCTTTTCTACTTTAGCA